TTCTCTCTCTTCTATTGCGCTGACTTTTTTGCTTGTATCCTTTGCTGCTATTCTCCTTCCCTCATGTCGTTCTTTACCTCTTGATTCTTCTTGTCTCTGCTGTTTTCGTAAGATCTTCCTATCACTTGTGCTTTACTCTTCTCTCTCTATTGCTCTCCTGTCTTACATACTTATCCTCTCTTTCTTGCTTTTGTTATATTTTCCTTTCCACTTCTCTCTTCGTGATTGTTGTTTCTTTTATTTTTATCTTTTTTTCTTGATGTTGTCTTTCGTTATTGTCCCTTTCTCCTCTCTTCTTTTTCTCTTTGCCTTCCTCCTAGATACCTATAGTCTACTCATTGTTCGCACTTTTACTTTTTTCATACCTCTCATTTTAGCTTAATGGCTATCCTACTTTTTCATCTGGTCTCTTGCTTCCTATTGCATTATAGTGTCTCTTGCCTCTATTTCGACTGTCTCGCATCTCTTTATCTTTGCTGTTATCTATCTCGTTCTCCTTTCTTCACATCCCTACTTCTCCCCTTTCTTTGATCCTTCTTATGATTTCTCTCTCTATATCCCGCGTTTCTTATCTCTATTCTTAGTTTATCGTTATTGTCTATAGGTTGCTCTCTCTCCCTTTGGCCCTGTTTTCTGTTTCTCTCATTACTGTTTTAAGTTCTGTTGCCCATGTCCTTCCTTATCTTGCTGTTCCCGTCTATTCCGTATGCTCGTTGTGTTTTTTCCTTATTTCTCCGTTCTTTTTTCGTTCTCATTCCTCTGTTCTCTCCTTCTCCTACCTTTCGTTGTTCTTTTCCTCTTAATTTGCTACCTTTTCGTACTTGTTTTTTTCTCTTTAATTCTCACTTCCCTTCTTCTTATTTATCGTTATTTTCTTTCTCTCTTCTCTATTTTTCTTTCCTCTCTATCTATCCAGATTTATTTTCTATCCTTTCCCTTCTTTACCACTTCTTCCTTGTTGATGTTTTTCCTATTTTGTTTTCCTCTTCTCGTTCTCCTCTTTTTCCTTCTGCTTATTTGATCTTCTCTCAGTTTGTCTTTATTATTCTTACTCCCGATTCTATTTCTACTATACTTCGTCCATCATTATCAATTTTCATGCCTCGTTCTTGTTCTCTAGTCCTTTCTGTCTATCTTTCTTTCGTATTTTTTCTTCCGACTTTTCTCGCGGCTTTCATTG